TGATTGAAAGTCTTGTTAGTAAGGGTAATGTGATGGCATACAATTCTTTTGTGGCTAGTGCTAATGCTCAGAAAAATATGCCTCCATCATCTAGTGGTACTGTTGGTATATCTGAAAACCCTAGTCCAATTTTACCAATTTCATCGGCACCACCTATGCAACAACAATATAATATGCCTTTGAATTTTTACCCTATTCAAACCAACCAGCTTGTGGCTGCACCTACATACCCTAATCATATTATGAGTGTGCCCAATTCGGCGTCAACGCCGAATCACTTTGTCACACCACCCATAGGTGCAAGCATGTTTGGTCTTCCGCCGAATTATGGTTCGGCGCCCATCCCACAAGTTGCACCAATAGCTAGTACTCAGGTTGCTCCTATGTCATTGCCACAAACATCTTCATCTACATCGGATCCAATTTTAGCTAAATTAAGGGAGGATTTGCATAAGATGTTTCTAGAAACTTTCGGAAACGAGCCGAAAGTAAAGAGTCGTGTGTATCAAAAGCCTTATCCTGAACACTTCGATGCAATTTCTTACCCTCAAGGTTATAAGGTTCCTGATTTTGTTAAATTTAGTGGTGAGGGTACGAAAACAACTTGGGAGCATGTGAGTCAGTATCTAGCACAGTTGGGTGAAGCAGGTTCCATAGAAGAGTTGAAAGTGCGTTTATTTCCCTTGTCTTTAACTGGCACCGCATTTTCATGGTTTGCTGCTTTACCACATGGCTCAGTTCTCTTATGGTCGCAATTAGAGCAAAAGTTTCATGATCATTTTTATAGCGGCGATAATGAGCTAAAGTTGTCACATCTTACATCGGTTAGGCAAAAACATGATGAATCGGTCACCGATTATGTCAAGAGATTTAGAGACGTAAAAAACCGATGTTATAGCTTAGTGATAACTGAGAGAGACTTGGCAGATCTTGTTCTTAATGGTTTGAAAACTCACATTAAAGAGAGGCTAGAAAGTTATGAGTTTTTGAGCATTAATCAAGTCTTACAAAAAGCTTTGGCTCAAGAGAGTCGAAGTAAAGAGATTCATAGGTCTACAACCGATCGTCCTAGAATGCATATGGTTGGACACAATGATGATAATTCAGACGATGAGGTTGATGTTTATACTCCTGAGTTTGTTTGGTCCTCAAAGGCCAAACCCTATACATGCAATGCTCTTAAGCCGATTCGCAAGAATCGTGATGAGGAGATGAGGTTTACATTTGATATATCTAAGTGTGATAAAATATTTGATGCTCTCTTGCAGGATAAGATGATTAGAATATCACACACCATACCGCCGTTTGATGAGCTGAAACGGCGTGCTTATTGCAAATACCATAATTCATTTTCTCATGCTACTAATGATTGCAATGTTTTTCGACGACAGATACAATCGGTCATTAATGATGGACGACTGAATTTTGCTGAGATGCAAGTTGATAAACAACCCTTTCCGATAAACACCATGGACTTGGAGGGAAAGAAAATGTTAATTCGGCCTAGCATAGCCGAATCTGCTAATAAAGATAATGTTGTTATTGGTGAACCCAGGAAAGGCAAGGAGCGCGACAAAGTCTTGGGAAAAGAGGTTGTGCTTGATAAGCAACCCGATGGCAAGGAACTATTGAAGATCACCATAAAAAATCCCGCACTCAGGGGGCAACCACAAGTACAAGAAGATACTCATGTTAAATTTATCAAGCCCAAGAATTCAGAAGTTGACAAGTGGGGAAAGAGTGAAGCTAAGCGCAAGCGAATCAAGCCAACTTTTGATATGCTGCTATCCAAATATGCAAGTCAAACGGCCAGTTCTAGCTCTAATCGGCCATCACATTCGAAGCGTTCAAGATCACTTCCGGAGCAAGAGTTTCGACGCTATGCAAGGCCATATGGGTCATGGGCACCGACACCATGGATGTCACAACCCTCCTATGCACCATATTACATGAGAGACTTCAATGGAGGATGGGGGCAGCCCCCAATGGCTCCTTATGCTTTCCATATGGGGTGGACAACACCTAGAAGGCCTGCTCGTGAGAGGCTTTATTATCCCACCCAAGGCCGTTTGAGTTATGGTGCTAATCGTCCAACAAAAAATTCTCCAAGTAAGACCAATAAAAAAGTGTGGCGTGTTAAGTCACCTAATGCGGAAATTTCAGAATGCAACAAGCAAAGGAGATCAAAAAGCCGGTTGTTGGTAATCTGGCTACTTCTAATGGTGGTATTGTTATTGTTCAGCAGGGTTCCATGGTTGATGATCATGAGGCGGGCACAAGCAAGGCCAAACCAAGGGATCCCAAATATACTCAACCTAAGTGGTGTCCTCCCGGTTTAACTAAGACCATGAAAAGGAGGTTACAACGCATGAGGAACCACGAGAAGGTAGAACACAAAGAGGAGAGGCAAAGGGACGAGTTGTTTAGTGAAATTCAGCCCATAGCACTCACAAAACAAGTGTGGAGGCCTAAACAAAAACAAAAAAACAGATGCTTCTACATTAGCTGCAGCAACACCTTCACCACCAAAAGAGGATGATGCGACCCCTATTACATTGTCTACACTACTTGAAACATCCCCTTCAATTGAGGAATCTTTAAGCCCAATATACACATTGGGAGATGAAGATGAGATGGTGGATTATGAATCTACGCCGGTTCGGGAAGGTATGGATATTAATATGGTATATTACTTACCTACCGAGTTTCGTGCTATAGGTGAAGAAGGGGAGGTAGCCCAGCTGAATTTTGGTCCTAAGAATGCTATTTTTGAGAAGCCAAGAGAACCGGTGAAACACTTGAAGCCATTGTACCTCAAAGGTCATATTAACGGATTGCCGGTTGCTAGGATGCTCGTTGATGGTGGTGCTGTGGTAAATCTTATGCCCTACTCGGTCTTTAAAAAGTTGGGGTTAGATGATGATGCATTGATGAAGACCAATATGGTACTTAATGGATTCGAGGGTAAAGAAAAGACAGAGGCCAAAGGTGTGATGTGCATGGAACTCACCGTGGGAAGCAAAACTTTGGCCACCACATTCTTCATCGCCGAGGTGCAAGGTAATTATAATGTTATATTAGGTCGCGATTGGGTTCATGCTAACCAATGTGTGCCGTCTACCATGCATCAATTTTTAATACAATGGATCGATGATGAGGTAGAAATCATTCACGCGGATAATTCAGCTTGTGTTGCTTTGGCCGATGCATCGGTGGATTGGAATCATTCCGATGTAACTTGCTTAATAGGGCGTGACCTCTCGGAGTTTGATTTCCTTAGTGCTACAAGGAACGGGTTCATTCCCATCTCTTTAAAGCCGATTGGTGGTAATCGGTTACAAGGTATGATGTGAACAAGAAGTTAAAATCAACGACCGATATATAACTATCGCCCTTAGCATAAACATGGCCGATACATAATTATCGTCCTGAGAAAAATAAATGGCCGATGGAGTGTTGACATCGTCCTTAGAACAAATACATTACAAATTATTTTTCGGCACGCAAGTTTTGCCAAAAAACAGGGGGGCATGTGTTCACACCAAATTTTGGCACGGTCAATAACTTATTTAAGATGGCTTCAAATGGAGAAGTGATCTTCATGAAAGAGTTTCGTATTGTTGATATGAACATCTTTGAAGTTTGGGTCATCGCCGTCCGATTTCATCTCGAAGGCCGAAACTATGCTCAAAGTACTAAGATCTTATATTCAGAGTAAAGTTTGGCCAATTAAGCCCCCAAGATGACCTCAAATGGAAAAATGATCTACATGGATCGTCTTCGTCTCGTCGAAACAATCGATTTTGATATAAAAATCGTCCAAATCCGAGTTCGTATGCAAAAGTTAGAGCAATCGGAGTGCAGCCCTGTCACGAGGCGAAATATGGCGCGCCCCACCAGACGCCATGTCTGGTTGGTAGCGCGAGTAAAAAGATCCTTTGCGCGAGCTATTTGACCCTTACGATGACCTCTGATCAAAAAACGTTCAACATGAAAGTTGTTCATATCATCGAAACGGTCAAGATTGCTTTTGGACTCGTTTCCATCCGAGATCGTTTACCACCACAAAAAAGACCTGCAAGGTGCAGCCAGTTTAAACCGAACAATTTTGGAAAGTTCGGACAAGACCAATCCGAATTTGACTAGGGTTTTGGACGTGAATCCAAGCCTTTTCCTTGCACGGGAAGTCCAGCCGCCTCTTATATACCTAAGGGGTGACGGCCGATTGAATAACAACACACAATCGAACAATCAATCTACTTTTTACCCTAGTTTTACATCTCTCCCTGTTCTTTCTCTCTCATTCTTCGTTCGTTCTTTGTTGAAGGGCAGCGATCCTCGAGGCTCTAGGGGCGGGCGAACCGACCTAGGGCAGCCCATAGCCGCCACTCGTCCAGACGGGGTCCCTCCCGGGCGCGTGGGGTTTTGGGTGCACAAAAGCGCCCGCCGGATTGCTTGCGTACCGCGCTTCCGGACGGGTCTCCTTCGACGTGAGCTGCGGTGCATCACCCTCGGCGTTGGAGGTACACGGTGACGTGTTCGTGTGTGAACAGCCACATGCGCAAACAGTGGCACAAACATAAACTAAGCATGCACTTTTAGCTCAGCTCCTCCAGATTGATGAAAAGAAAGCCTGTTGATTGAGCTGATTATTCTCGCAATCGCAAGGCGTAATCCACAGGGATCAAACTTCAGTTGTGACAATGATGGTTTTTCTCATATTCTTGATTATTATTTTGATAAACAAAAGAAATCATGAGGTACGCTGTCATATCATCTATATTGCACAGCACTTCGTAAATGTTGCTGATTATCTTCAAGCAAAAAGGTAATAACATCTCATGCAAAACTGAAACTCCTGGTAAAAAATAATAATATGATAAAGCTATATACACCGTACCCCTGACTACCGAAAACCGAGAATTTGCACTGTCACCATAAGCGTCTCCTAGTTGCATCAGTTCACGAATTTATTCACCTGGAGTTAGGTGTCTGGCTGCTCACATACGCATAGGTATCGATGCCCCAGCCAATGGAATGGTTGCGTCAATGTTGCTAGGCATCAACACATTGAAGCCATCAGCTGCTGTCGATATGATCATCCCAGGTATCTGTGGATGCCAGTGCAATTCCTTCAAATCTTTCTGGCCCTGCGTCCAAAAAATAATCAACATTGTAGATGTGTTTCATTACAAGCAAAAATGTCCTGTGAACGAAAAACATTCAACTATGGCACATAGCCAGTTTTAGGTCCTCGGTTGGATGTCTCTTGCAATATACAGTGTTGGCTTTATTTATAAAGCGGGCGAGAAGCCTTTTTCGGTATATTGCAATAGGGAGGTACGCACCTGATGAACAAAGAGAAGTTGTGGGGGCAAATCTTGGGGTGCATTTGCTTGTTCTTTCATCTTTGATTTGAATTCAGCCTCCTCTTCGGCGTCCCTTTCCAACGAAAGGTCCCAAATTCTGGTACAAATTGATTATTATGTTATGGCATAGCAGTTTGAAATGTCAGATATTTAGGCAAAAAATTCGGCGATTCGGTGCAATCATAAAACATAAATGGGAGGAGGGCGGGCAGAGTTATGTACGTCAGTTGATTGTCAGCAGATGATACAGCCAAAGTTGATGCTTCATATGGACTCCATTCCACAGACGTAATCGGGTGCTTGTGGTATGCAAAATGTGCTACCAAGGACTTACCAGGCTCACCGCTCTGCCAGCAAATAAAGTCAGAAGGGAGAAACATTTGATATTATAAACATGTTATCACAAAATCCCAGCTTTATTGTGAGTTGACCACACCAATTTAACTACTACTAGTTGAGAAGGTCCACCGACAAGCCAAGGACATTGTGTTTTATCAGCATGGAATTACCTCGATTGCTCTAATATCATGGACTGAGATACTGCCATCATCAAAACCTGATGCTATAAGACAACCTGCAAGCCTGAATATGAAATACAGAAAAGTTGTAATGTACTATGTAGAAGACATTATAGTGTGCATGAAGATAGCAGATAGGGCACATACGAATTCCATGAGATCACATTCACGTCAGAATTGTGAACCCTAACAGGAGCATAACAAGGTTTCCTCCCTATACGTATATCCCATATAGCTATCGTCCCATCCACGGAACAAGAGGCAAACATATTTTCTTCTGTGGGATTCCACTGCAAAACATAATTGTAGTAGCTGATATATTAAACAATATTATAGCTCATAGGATATATATAATACTGTACATTATTGTGTTGCACACCTGTAGATCTTCAACACTTGCAGAGTGTCCAACAAATGGCTTGGTGTCTACATTCCAATCGCTTGAAGTCGGCTCCCACAGGTGAATGCACTTATTGCAATCGCCTGCATTTACAAAGAATAAAGTGATCTATGTCAATTTCCATATACCCCACCAAACTCATTCTATGAATGGCGACATCTTTATCCCAACTGTACCAAGGATAAGACTTTGTACACACCAGAAACTAGTCTTCCAGTAACATTTGGACTCCAATCAATAGCATAGCCTTCATCTTTGTGGCCACTAAATACTTTTAGAGGTGCATGATTGTGGATAATGTCGTTATCTTTATGTGTAACTGTTCCTGGGTCTTCTAATGAAGCAATGAAGGAGCTGAAGTCCCACACCTGCATATGTAATCAACAGAGCACGCAGCAAATTATATAGCACATGGAAGTAGCCAATGTGATGCATTCTATTTCTGAGCAAGTTTTAGGAAGGAAATATAATGCACAGAATATATGTTCTGTTGCTGGGCAAATAGGACACTACCCATGTACATGCTGATGTTTTTTCATAGGGAAGTAATGAAAATAATAAACTTCAGCTTGATGTACAGTAAAAAAGTTGATCTATCTCAAAAGAGCAGGGCATGATGTGCAGCATAAATTTTGTGGTTTTGATAAATCAGATGTGGACTAACCGTAGTAAATTACCTGAACATGACCTGTGTCTCCCCATGTAGCACAAATTTCCGGCTTTTGATTCATTGAGCGTATTCGGTTTATCGACCCCTCGTGAGCCACCTTTTGTAACTGATACAACAGAATAAATTCTAGGTTACCGAAGGGTCATGATGGATTCTGCATAATTACTTAAATGCCAAAATTGTAGTTTGGCACAGAGTGAACACACATGCAAAATGGGCTCTGTATCTTCATTGATTTCTTCATCATCTTCGTCGCTGCTGCTGTCACTATCCATATCATCATCACCATCAAAAGCTGAAGATGGTATTGGTTCCCGTTTCTTGCCCTTTATGTTGGAAAGCTTGAAAATACCAGCATAATTCCATGAAGCCTTCTCGGACTGAAAGAACAATTAGTCCAGTTCTTACGTCAGAGAGAGTGTCCACTATTATCACAAAATATATACTATTTGAGATGTCGACTGGACAATAATAGTTAACAAACAAAAAACAGAGGCATAGAAGAATCAAAACTTTCTCGTCATGGGTCAATAACATAATCATGTAGAATTCCATAAACACATCATGTCATTCTCAAGCTAAAAACCAACGTAACAACACTTCATTTAAGTTAAATGTGGTTGTATCTACTACTGACAAAATAGATAAAAGTCGACGATAACATTCTTCCCTACTTTATTGAGAGGGGTCTGATGGACGTGGATCTTTGGGTCTTCGGTGTCAATGCACCCGAATTGGGAAAAAAATAAAAATTGCAAAATTAGTCAAAAATTCCTGAAACTTCTTGGAAACAAGGGCATTATACTCGTGTGAAAAGTTTTGTGAAGGAATGACTTCCATGATAATTTAGGCCGAAAAAACAAAACCGGCACTAATAAAAGGTACTATTCACACTTTTGTACTCAAAATTTTGTTTTTTTGTCCCAAAGTTCACAGACGTCACCCTTCGGGGACTTTTTATACGAGTATAACACTATACCGTTCTTGTTTCCAGATGTTAAACATGATATTATGGTGCATGTGTTGCGGCCATATAAGAGTTGTTAGGAGATTGGAAAATTAATCCAACACTTAATGTACTCTTTACATATCTCAATATGCGCTTGGCTGCTGTCAAATGAGCTCTAGTTGGTGCATGAAGAAACTGACACACTTTATTTACCGCAAAGGAAATATCAGGCCTGGTGAGTGTCGTAACTAGACTTATGTACCTGGTGCCATCCTCTTGATTCAAGGGTTGACCCTCTACAAGAGCGAGTTTTTCTGAACTAGACAATAGTGTTGATGATGGTTTACACCCCTGTAGACCAGCCTCACTCAATACATCAGTTGCATATTTCTCTTGAGAAAAATGGAGTCCACCTTCTTTCATTTTCTTAACTTCAGTGCCAAGGAAAAAAATGCAAATCCCCTAACTCTTTAAGTATAAATTCTGAGTTCAAATCTTTCAAAAGGGTTGTTACTGCTTCATTTGAAGAACTGGTAACAATGATGTCATCAACATATATAAGCACAAAGATGGATGTATGTGACTTGTTATAAATGAATAGTGATGTGTGAGAATCAGAGGGAACAAAACCAAGTGCTTGCAACTTAGAGCTCAAGCGAGAGTACCATGCCCTTGGAGCTTGTTTCAGTCAATAGAGAGATTTATCAAGCCTGCACACATGAAATGGTTTATTTTTATCTTCAAACCCAGTAGGTTGCCTCATATAAACTTCCACTTCCAGATCACTGTGAAGAAATGCATTATGCACATCTAGCTGTCTAAGGCTCCATCCTCTGGACACGACATAATCTATGCCATACCTCTGCTTGAATCCTTTTGCAACAAGCTTGGCCTTGTAACGACCTAGGGTGCCATCAGACCTTCTTTTTATCCCGAACACCCACTTGCAGTCAATCACATTTTTACCTAGGTGTGAAGGAACCAGATGCCAAGTATTGTTTTTGTGAAGAGCATAAACTTCTTCATCCATAGCCTTTCTCCATATGGGATCATCAATGGTCTCATTGATAGTGTGTGATTTTCCTATAGAAGTATTTGAAACAGTTAAACCATGCTTAGTTTTATAGTTAGTTGAATTCAAAACACCTGTTTGGAGACGTGTACGGGGCAGTGCAGTAAGCGTATGCGCAGAAGATCCAACATCCTATTGTGCAACAGGATTAGTAGATCCACTTGATCCAGCCAATCCCGAGGACACAGAGCTGCCCGCGTCCGCCAGATCCTCTATGGTAGATGAGGGCGTCGCAAAAGATCTAGCCGAACCAGCCGGATCAGGATCGATCCGTGCACTGGGCCCACCTGGCACAGGCACGTCGGAAAGCATGGCCTGGCTAGCGTAAGTGCAGGGGACCGGCGCGTAGCCCCCAGTCGGTGGAACCCGCTCGGTCGGGCTATCCCCTAGTGGAGTCTGGAGCGGCCCGCCAGTGGAACGCGTAGCATTCACACGGTGGGGGAGAGCGGGGGAGGCAGGTGCAACACGGGCCGGCTTGTGGGACACTCATCCCGGGGTGGATCCAGGCGCAGTGTGCTGCACCGATCCCGGAAGAGATCCAGGTGCAGGCTGCTGCACCGATCCCGAAGACGATTGCGCCGGATCTGGTGTGTCCATGCCACGATGATTTTGTGCACCGTTTTGAATAAAAATTTCATCATTCGCCATGCCGTTTATGCCCTGTTTATCTCTTTAGCAGAAGACTCATGTGAAACCAAAGAGGAGTTAGTCAACATTGGATCATCATTATCAACACCCACATGAGCATCACCAGGCAAGGAAGAAGACGAATTTCCTTGTTGAGAAGAGCAACGTCATTGCGATGAAGCTTTTCAAAGGGAAACTGAGTTTAATAAAAGACAACATCACGAGAGATGTAAACATGACCAGTGGACATGTCTAGGCATTTGACACCCTTATGTTGAGCATTGTAACCGAGAATGACACATTGCATGGAACCAAACATGAGTTTGCTAGTGTTATAGGGACGAAGGTTAGGCCAGCAAGCACAACCAAAAACTCTAAGGGTGGTGTAGTCTGGTGTGACATGTAATAGAAGTTCAGTAGGAGTTTCATTTGAGATGGTACAACTGGGCCACATATTGATGAGATGAACTGCAGTAAGGAAAGTTTCATCCCAAAATTTTAATGGCATGGATGTCGCAGCTAGAATAGCTAAGCCTACTTCAACAAAATGTATATGTTTTCATTCAACATAACCATTTTGTTGATGTGCATGTGGAGATGAGACATGATGTGAGATGCCTGTTTGTTGAAAGAAGAAGTTTAACTTTTCAAATTCACCACCCCAATCTGATAGCAAGGCAAAGATCTTTCTATCAAATTTGCGTTCAACAAGGGCTTAAAAATTATGAAAGAAATACATTAGAACGCTTTTTAAGAAGGTATATCAAGTGTATTTGCTAAAGTCCTCAACAAAACGCACATAATAAGAATCTACCAACAAAAGTTAAACTCTTAGAACACTAGTAGAAATATCGTGGTCATGATCAAATCCACATGGCTGCAAACGGTCCAGGTAAGGAGATAAGTCACATTGGTAAATCAATCATTGAAACCCCACACAACAATCTTGAACTCAATGAAATCTTGCATGTTCCTAGTGCCTCCAAAAATCTTTTGTCTATCCATCGTATTGCTCTTGACAATAATGTGTTTCTAGAGTTTCACCCTTTCTTATTTTTGATCAAGGATCAGGTATTCTTCATAGAGGTGTTTGTGTGCAAGGACTCTACTCATTGCTTCCCAAGTATTGCAAGTTCAGTAAACAAGTGTATGGTGCCATCAAGCTTTCTACTGAAAGGAGGCATAGTCGTTTAGGTCATCCATCTTTTCTATTGTTCATCAATTTCTTAGTAGAAATAAACTCCCAGTTGTTGGTGAGAGAAATTCAGAAACTATTTGTGATTCATGCCAAAGAGCAAAAATTCATCAATTGCCCTATCCTGTCTCTACTAGTATGTCTACCAAACCCTTACAACTTTTCTGATGTTTGGGGTCCAGCACCCACTTCTGTTGGTAGACATTCTTATTATATGAGTTTTGTTGATGACTTTAGCTAATACACTTGGATCTACCTTCTTAAAAAACGTTCTATTGTATTCAAAGTCTTTCATAATTTTCAAGCCCTTGTTGAATGCAAATTTGATAGTAAGATCCTGGCATGCAATCAGATTGGGGTGGTGAATATGAAAAGCTAAACTCCTTTCAACAAATAGGCATCTCACATCATGTCTCATGACCACATGCACATCAAAAAAATGGTCCTGCTGAACGGAAACATAAACATATTGTTGAAGTAGCCTTAGCTATTCTAGCTGCAGCATCCATGCCATTAAAATTTTGGGATGAAGCTTTCCTTACTGCAGTTCATCTTATCAATGTGGCCCAGTCGTACCATCTCCAATGAAACTCCTACTAAACGTCTATTACATGTCACACTAGACTACACCGCCCTTAGAGTTGTTGGCTATGCTTGCTGGCCAAACCTTCGCCCCTAACACTCGCAAACTCATTTCACGTTCCAAGCAATGTATCTTTCTCGGTTACAGTGCTCAACATAAGGGTGTCACATGCCTAGAGGTGTCCACTGGTTGTGTTTACATCTCTCATGATGTTGTCTTTTATGAAACTCATTTTCCCTTTGCAAAGCTTCATCACAATGCCGATGCTCTTCTCAAGAAGGAAATTCTTCTTCCTCCTTCCAATCTCCTTGTTGATGCTCATGTGGGTGTTGATAATGATGATCCAATGTTGACTAACTCCTCTTTGGTTTCACATGAGTCTTCTGCTACAAAGATTAACAGGGCAGAAAACGGCGTGACGAATGATTAAATTTTTGTTCAAAGCGGTGCACAAAATCATCCTGGCATGGACACACAAGATCCGGCACGATCGTCTTCGGTGCAGCAGACTACGCCTGGATCCGCCCCGAGATCGATGCCCCACCAGCAGGACCGTGTTGCACCTACCTCCCCCTCTCGGCCACCCTGAGATCGCCACGCATCCCACTGGTGGGATGCGCCAGAGACTCTACCAGGGGACAGCCCGACCAAGCGGGTTCTACCGACTGGGTGCTACGGGCCGGTCCCCCGCACTTACGCCAGGCAGGCCACGTTTTCCGACACACCCATGTCAGGTGGGCCCAGCGCGCGGATCGATCCAGATCCGGCTGGCTCGCCTGGATCTTCTGCGGTGCCCTCGCCTTCTGCGTCGCCCTCATCTTCCACAGAGGATCCGTCGGGCGTGGGCAGCTCTGCCTCCTCGGGATGGATCTGCTGATCCTGTTGCACAGCAGGACGCTGGATCTTCTGTGCATACACCTGCTACACTGCTCCGTACACGTCTCCAAACAGGTGTTTTAAAACCAACTAACTATAAAACTAAGTATGGTTGGCTGTTTCAAACACTTCTACAGGAGAACCACACATTGTCAATGAGGCCCTTGCTAATCCCATATGGAAAAAGGCTATGGATGAAGAAGTTCATGCTCTTCACAAAACAATACTTGGCATCTGGTTCCTTCACATCCAGGTAAAAATGTGATTGACTACAAGTGGGTGTTCGGAATAAAAAGAAGGTCTGATGGTACCACAGATCGTTACAAGGCCAGGTTTGTTGCATAAGGGTTCGAGCAGAGTATGGCATAGATTACGAGGACACTTTCAGTCCTATTGTTAAAGCTGCCACAATTCGTCTTGTTCTACCTGTTGCTGCGTCCAGAGAATGAAGCCTTAGACAGCTAGATGTGCAAAATGCAGTTCTTCATGGTGTTTTGGAAGAGGAAGTTTATATGAGGCAACCTCCTGGGTTTGAAGATAAAAATAAACCATTTCATGTGTGCAGGCTTGATAAATCTCTCTATTGACTGAAACAAACTCCAAGGGCATGGTACTCTCATTTGAGCTCTAAGTTGCAAGCACTTGGTTTTCTTCCCTCTGATTCTGATACATCATTATTCATTTATAACAAGTCACGTACATCTATTTTGTGCTTATATATGTTGATGACATCATTGTTACCAGTTCTTCAAATGAAGCAGTAACAACACTTTTCAAAGATTTGAACTCAGAATTTGCACTCAAATATTTAGGGGAATTGCATTTTTTCCTTGGCATTGAAGTTAAGAAAATGAAAGAAGGTGGACTTCATCTTTCTCAAGAGAAATATGCAATTGATTTATTGAGTAAGGAAGGCCGGTCTACTGGGGTGTAAACCATCATCAACTGTCTAATTCAGAAAAACTCTCTCTTGTAGAGGGTCAACCCTTGAATCAAGAGGATGGCATCAGGTACAGAAGTCCAGTAGGTGCACTTCAGTATTTGACACTCACTAGACCTGATATTTCCTTTGCGGTAAGTAAAATATGTCAGCTTCTTCATGCACCAACTATAGCTCATTTGATAGTGGCCAAGCGCATATTGTTTTTTTGTCTCGAAGTTCATAGAAATCACTCCTTCGGGGACTTTTTATACGAGTATAACAGTATACCATTCTTGTTTCCAGAAAGTTTCAGAACTTTTTGACTTGTTTTGAAATTTCTAAATTACTATTTTCAAATCAGGTGCAATGGGACCCGAAAGGAAGAGCAAACCCACTTTCTTTACTAATCAACAACTGCCGAATTCACTGCACAGAGTTGAGAAATTTCTACGGCTAGATTCAAAAGGCATGAAGATAAATGCAACCTGTGTTCCAGCAATGCCGTATAACGTATGTGGGAACTCCGACCGCACAAGCCCGAGTTGATCGCGCAGAACATCAAAGCTACAGCAGAGTGTAAATCGTTGAGAATCAATCATATATTGTGCTGTGCTCAGGACAGAAAGAACGCGCGCCCGTATGGAGGTTTTTGTTTTCGTTACCTCAGGCAAGGCCACCCAATGCTAAATCCCCTGAGATAATTGTAAGCCTCGGGGTCAAACTGGAGCTCCTCCCCCTCTTCCAGCGCATCAACACCTGGTTGCCACACCTAGGAAAAAGCACACACCGGTTAAGCGCGATTCTACAAGGCACAATCAGCACAATTTTGGAGCTTCCATGGTATATAGTTCAGCGCAGCCGAAGATTGACAGCATAAGACGAACGGGTTATGATCCCTCACCTGAGCCGGGCCAGAAGCCACCGCATGGTTAGTCGAGGACGATGACGAGGCCTCGCCTTTCCTGGATCCCTACACAGAAAAAAAAAAGCCCAAGAAAGAAGAATTAGGGATACAGAGCTCAAGACTTGGACGAGGACTTGTACAAATTTGTAGTGCGGAATCGCATGCCTTGGTCCTCTTCGATCTGGACTTTTTGATGGTGCGAGCCATGAGAAGATCAGCGCGCGAATACACCAGTCGCGAAGGTCGATTGGGTGGCGGGGTAGGAAAAAGCGTGGAGAGGGAGAGACGGAGAACGGTGGTCGGAGTTGGAGAGGCCGGGGAATTCGCGGCTGCTACAAGCCTACAACTGCAAAGACGTCCCGGACAAGGGTTTTACTTTTTTTTAGGCAAAGACAAGGGTTTAACGTGACGTGACAATTCGGTTACATGGGCCGGGTTGCGAGTCGCGTGGGACCTATGGATTTTCGTTTCGGCTCATTCCCGAACCCGCCGCCTCGACGCAAATGCTATATCTCGCTTACAATGAGGATAGCATATGTCCCGTCTCAAGGGCTCGCACGTATAAGCACTCGCTCGTTCTACGTACGGGTTTCGTCTGTTTTTTTTATTGTTTATTTTCTTTTAATTTTTCCTTTAGTTTTTTTTCCTTCATCAGTTTTCTTTGGTTTTCTGCTTTTCATCATTGTGTTTCTTCATTTCTTTCACAGTTTTTATCAGGTCTTTCTTTTCTTTCTCTTTTTCTTTCTTTTCCGATTTTACTGTTTTTTTTACTTCTTCCTTGTTTTTTGTTTCTTTTTCGGGTTTTTTTCATTTCTTTGGAATTTTCTTTCCTGGCTAGTTATTTTTGTGTGCAAACACTGGCGATCTATTGTTTTTCAATTTTGGCAGGTCATTGTTTACGTGGCTTGTACTATGATCCCACTATGTCAATCCTCTCAACATGCACACATGCCACCTCATTATTCTGCTAATCATTTCTCTTAACAAACATAGCAAATGCTATTTATATTCTCTCTTAACATGCACACATCCCAACTCACCACGTATGCACATCATCAGTCACAATAATTATATTTCCCTCAACCTGCATGAGAAATTCCACTTGTATTCTGTATATGTTTGCAACTAAATAATAATCAAACTCAATATATTATATCTACTTTAATATTCATAAAAAACTATTGCAACATATTTTCACAGCAACGCGCGGAGCACTATCTAGTTTTGAAAAAGCATTTTAAACACATATTTTTTTTGTTTCATTTTTCCATAAATATTATTAAAAAATTGTATACATCATAAACAATTTATTGTTCAAATATTCCAAATACATTATTAACATTCCTAAAACATATATTGTTTATGTCTACATTCTCCATACACATACTTCATTTTTCATATACACCAGGAACATTTTTACATACAAGTTTAACATTGTCACAATAAATTATTAACATTTTCTGAAAACTTATATTATTTTATGTCTACTTTTTTCCATACACATTGTAAATTTTTTTAATACATTTCTGTATAAATCGGAAACAATTTTTATACAAATTTATATTTTTTATTTTATGATTAAAAATTCAGAAAAAATGAAATCTTTTTTATATTTTTTCATACGTATTGTATATTTTTTGTATACATCAAAATTATTTTTATACACATTTATATCGTCTAAATGCATGATTAATTTTTTTTAACTTTTGTATACAAAGTTACTATTATAATCAATATTTTTAGAATATTTTAAAATACAAGAAAAAAAGAAAATGCAAAATTGTAAAACAAGAGGAAGAAACAAAACGTTGAAGGCTTGTGCTTGCGCTGGCCGACCCAACCGGGCCGCTGCTTGAAGCGAGACGTCC